GGATCTCTCTCGTTGATATATTTTCATAGCTTTCTAATCCTCTCATAACTTTCATTCTCTCAAACCTCAAAACACTCGAAAGATCTTTTCACTAGCTTTTAGCGTAGTGCATTTTGTTAACAACACAATAGCTTTCAGCTACCCTCAACCTATTCCTCACCATGAAGATTGCCAAGACGCATACACCAGCTTCGATATAAGCTGCGCGACAAACCAACCTTCCTCTCATCGACCTCGACGATGAATGCGAAATCGACGATTCTCGCTCTACACCTACAAATTCGCACTGTTCCAGCAGATATCAACAGCGCCAAGTACACCTTCAAGGTCAAAAGCATCAATGGATCGTAGACTCTCTCAACAACCAAAGGATCGTAGATCTGAACTCCCGCGGGAGACTGTAGAGTGTGATAGAGTAGGTTGCGGTAGCAATCCTACTCACTCCACGATCCTAAAACGGAACGCGTGGACGATTCGTCTAGCATTTATCTAGTAGCGTGGAAGTACTCCACGCTGGCTAAATATCTAGAGCGATGTTTCATCATCAACCTAGTATGACTAGAGCGGTCATTGAGAACCCTGTCTCAATGACTATTCACGAGAGACTCAGTCATGAGTCGAACTCAAACCCTATCTAGGATCGAGTCGCGAATAAGGCTAAGAGCCGTGTATTGCACAACTATTCCACCACAAGCTTGCCCAGGTATCCGAATGCATCTACGATTTGAACACCCCAAGCTTCCAAAGCGAACTGACATGGCGATTCTTCCTTCAGCATGTGCTTGTGCAAGAATTGACGCAATTCATGCTTGAGTCAGATACCAGTCTATAAAGTTGGTGCAGCACTGGTGGGTAGTGCTTCTGCAAATTTTGTATCAGGTGCTCTGGTCATATTGTTCATGACATGGACTTGTGTAAGCAAGGTTGCAGAGAATTTCGTGCTGGCCATGCCAGGAAACCTTATTCAACAGCTTTGAACTTTGGTTACTGCATCCATGTATTGCGAATACAGAACCCTTTGGAGTTTCTCCTCTTTGGGACACCTATGTTCCAGCACTATGCTCAGTGCATGGGTGCTGACGTTGATGGCAACATGTGGTGCTTTGGGAGCTCAATTTTTGAATATGGCAAGATGCACTTCCTCAACAATTATTGATGATGCTACCATCAATGGACATTATTATGATGGTAGTGGCCTAACAGTTGATGATGTCTACATTTCTGGGGTTCTGCATCCAGAGTGCTTTGTCTCTGCCGGAGCAGTGGTTCCTGGCAACGAAAATGGTCCATTGAAAGCCTTGACGAGGAGTGGGGAAACTGCCACTACTACACCACACTACCGTACTCCTGGTATCCTCAGCGGCAACGCAGCTGTGGTTTCTAGTGTTACTATGGAAATTGAAGTCTAGGTAGTTTACAGTGCATTGCGATAAAGTCTAGGAGCAAGAGCTCTGGATCCCGTCAGAGATAGCTCCAACAGCTATGCTGGCCTACAGCTCCAGCACCCACAGCTGGCTTATCTCCAGCCAAAGCAGCAAGAAAGGATCGTTCTTTCCATCATATAGTTAAGAAAATAGTACGAAAGATTGAGACCGATCCTGATTAGCTTGTAGCCCCTTTGATACCGCAGCAGTTGATTCCTATCCTGTTGAGGCCGGGCAGAAGCAGTAGGAGGTAGCAGATAGTACTGTTCCCAGACTGCCACTGCACGATTGAATAACGAAGGCCCCCAGCTCCTGAGGTGAGCTGGCCCAAAAGGGCCCAGCAGAGAGCTCTGCTGGCCCTCCTGTCTGACTGACAGGACCAAGTCCTTGGCTTGGTGCCTACTGGAGGTGTTGGAACACTCCTGAGGCACGACAAGGCTCCCTGAACTGCCTGACTACCGCTGTACCTTTGAAAAATAACGAAGTTTTATTATTTAGGCTGCACCTCAATAGACCACCCGCTGAACGGAGCCATATTGAACCGGAGTACCTCAGACGTACAAGGACGCCCACATAGGAACCGGCCTAGTGCAAGCCTCCCACCGGAGAAGTTTAAAAACTCCGGAGGGTGCTTTGCAGCTAACTAACTACCCGTGGCTGCATTGCCATTGCTACGGTAAGACCCCCTTTGTGCGTAGTTACCCTGTGTCATTGTTCTGCTCGGTGCGTGCATGCTCGTCCCTGAGTGCCTTGTCGACGACGGGCAGCCAATTGGCAAGCCACGCTTTGATGTCGCCTGGGCCCTTTGCCATTTGCTCGTCAAGGGGTCGCTTCAAGATAAAATCCACCAGCTCCGCTGGGATCAGATCCGCTTCCTCGTAAATGAGTTCCACCTCCCGCTGAAGCTGTTCGTGCTTCTTCTTCCACTGGTCTTCCCTGTCTTTGCCATGCCTGGCAGCATTTCGATCCTCCCACAGGTTCCACCACTGCTGGATGAGCAGTGAGGCTAGGTTGGTGACCCAGAGTTGCCCTGTCTTGGTTGTCTCCTGGGAGCCGACCCGATGCAGATATGCATCTTGATGCTTGGCCCAGTGTGTGGACAAACGTCCTCTCAGGAAGTTATCCCAACCAATGAGGTTTTGAGTGTCAACAAGGTCCCTATACCTGTCTGGGTAATGCCATGGGTGGAGGAATCGATCTTCAAAGTGGTATTGTAGTCCATCCAGGACAATTTCCAGGAGGAAGGGGTCGGTGGAATCCGTGCGCAACTTTGTGCTGATCGCTCGTTGCATGGTCCCTCGCCACAAATCCACGTCAACATGCGGGCATCGGTAAACATGGGTTTCAGTCTCATGATCACCGCCACAACGGGGACAGTGGTGATCATACTTGGGGTCATCCCGGTGGATCCTTTTCCCAACTGACAACAGTTGGAATAGAAACTTCACAATTGTCGGTTTGTGGATCTCGTGACGGTTGACAGCTCGACCATGGGCTGTCCAATCAACCAGTGCAGGGGTGTCCTCGTCCCAGTCGGGATTCAGTTTGACAATGTGGTCGAACAGGGGCTGGTCGTTCCTGAGATGCCGCAGGGTTCTGGGAAGCTTGTATGTGCATGTTCCTCTGGGAAGGTGCAGCTGGGCCAAGTTGGCCGGAAATCGGAGTACCTTGGAGTGATCCTGTTTGATGTGTCTGGTCATGTAACTGCCTGCCAGTTTGTCAGCTCTGCAGTTCAGTTGTGCTTTTAGGGGTAGTGTTTCGATGGCCTTTTGCTTGTCCTGGTGCGATTTGATGTGCTCCATCTTGGGCACTGTGATGGCAGCCCGGAACGAATCCTCGATCTGTTGCAAGACATCCTAGTCGGAGTTCAATGAATCATTGGGGTACCAGCCCTCGTACTCGAGACAGCTAGCGCACTTATTTGTAACCGATTCATTGTCGCATAAGTGTACATAATTCTTCATGCTGGTCTGATCGTAGAACTCCAGCAGTCGTCGAAGAAGGCAAGTAGGGGATAGAATGCCGGAACCATACCAAAAACTGGACCAGAGCACCGAAGCACAATTTGTCCGCGATTGTCTGCCAGAACCCAAGCAAAACTCGCCTTGCCGGCGTCAATGTCTGCAGCCCCATCGCTGGCCACCCAGAAGGGCATGGCTGTGACAATTTGCCGGACTGAGTAGGCGTCCACCATCCACTCAAGCTCGTCATAGAGAGGTGTTTCCCAAGGCTCCAAGGTGGCAAGGAAATCCTCAAATGTTGTTGGTGTGGGTGGTAGTGGACGAGCAGGAAACCGCTGTACCTGAGGAAGGGTTTCAGCGAGGTCCAGTCCACTACTTGAGTATTGGAACTGAAACTTATTGCATTGTATTTAAAAAAGAAGTAGTATTGCTTTAAGTCTTCGTCTCGAGCAGCAGCACGCCTGGGGAACCCCCCCGTCCAAGTTTCCACGCTCCGCAGCGTGGAAACTTGAACCCTGATGGGTTCTCGCAACTATGACCCTAATCATGGTTGCCGACAAAATTAATTCCCATGCTCCTCACCTACAACTCAAGTACATCTCTACATCTCGCAGCAGGTCATCACCTGCGTTCCGAAATTGAATACCCCACATGATGATGCACCGCATCAGCTCCTCAATGCCTCTCGAACAAGATCACCCTTAAGGCAACGACGCCCGTCCAAGACCACATTTGGCAAGATCGACAGCGGCAACCATGAATCACTAAAGCCAGCGACCTAGCCAAGATCAGCCATTGAACTGCCGATCGCAAGAAGGTTGTCTCTCTCTCAGCTCACAATTCTTCATTCAGCCGACGCTGAAAGCAAGAACCTAGATTAGATTAACCCACCTCTCCCTCCCTGGTTGCATGACTGAAGGCTGTCCTGTGGAACATCACATTCCCGGGACTCCCTTCCGCCGTGTGGAATCCATTCGGGACTCCCCAGTCCCGAATGGTACATCTAAGAAGCCCATTTGTAGGTAGTTCCTGAATTGGGAACCTCTGGTCTAGTTTGGGAAGCACATCCCAACCCCATCTACCCAACCAAGTGCTAGGTTCCAATTAGGCAAGGCAAGGTCCATTTTGGCAACCTCCACGTGGTTGTGGACTGGGAACCTCACTCAGTTGCAGATTGGGAAGCAAGGTCTAGGTCTAAAAGCTAGGTTCCTAATGGTTTCTTTGGTTGCCAATTCATAACCTTTCTACCTAATTCATTACATGCTATCTAGATTGGTAAGTTGTCCTCTGGAATTGGCCAAATCGAGGACTTAGCCTAATCCACCAAGTCCTCGAAACCACCAAGTCGGCAACTCACGACGACTTGGCCAATTCCACCAAGTCGAGGACTTGTATATACAGGAAAATGGGTACCGACACAGGAATCACCACCAAAACACTAGGAAATAACAAGGAGGGATGAATCCAATGGGAGGATCCACTCTCTTGTGTGTTGCCGTGTAGCCTCCTCTTGTTGCCTTTTCAATGACTCGACGACGATGGCGCATAGCCTCCTCCGCCGTTCAGACTGTTGGTAGGGCTGGAGTTAACAGAGCCTCCTCCTCTACAGTGGTAACTGGTAGTAGCCTCTCCTCTTGTTATCCGAAGCGATCTTTCGTTCGACCTCGACAAAGGGATGTCCTCGGCCGTCAGCAGTAAGAGAAGAGAAAGTAAGAAATAGATATTGTTTTCTCTTCTATTCTGATACTGCAGACGACCGGAGACTTACTCTTGCTTTTCAAATTGCACCAACTTGGCTGTCATGGGTCGAGAACTGACTGCCATCCCATGGTCCATAGGATTCAATGAGGGATGGCTTTCGAATCTACACCGGAGACAGCCGGCTTGAGTGAGGCTTGGATAATAGAGGTGCGATCGACTCGATTCGAATAATTAAAACGACTCACCTGTTGACGGCCGAGCTTGGAATTCTCTCCTGAATACCATAGAAATTCAATGAGGGAGAGAAGTCAGCGCTGTACGTTCAATTAACACTCTTCTTGATAATAGGCTTACCTCATTGCGATCGATCGATCGATCGATCGGCCGATTGGATAATAAAGAACACTCCTTCTACCGGTATATACCACTCTTGTCGGCCAAGCTTGGATTTCTCTCCTGTTTGCCATAGGAATACAATGAGGGAGAGAAGTCAGTGCTGTACCTTCAATAATAACACTCTTGATAATAGACTTACCTTATTGTAATAGTACAGTAGTAGCGATCGGCCGATCGGGGGCTCTCCACCATTGTCGTGTTGTTCTTGTTCTTGTCGTTGTTATTGTTATTGTTGGTTGAATGAGCAACGAGTGCTTTTTCGAAGAAGAGCAGGGCAGTCGGGCAGGCTGTTCCGTGAAGGCTGTTTGAATATTTTAGTGTGAAAATAGAGTACTCTCCAATGACACTTCCCAAAACAGCTTGCCCTCCTTATAAATCCAATCCCACCTTGCAGAACAGAAGCAGCGCCACATCCATATCAAGGGCTTATCAGCTCCCCAATCCGGGCTGCTCCTCTTCCAGAACAAGGAATGGCATCACCACAGCATGCATCCAACATCCAACTTGGCGCCACAGCGTTCTGGGAACCTTTTCCTTGTGGATTGGGAAGCTGTTTTGGTACCAAACAGGGAACTCACAGGTTGTGTGCCTGAGGGTAGGAGATACAAAAAAGGAGGTCAAAATAGATAGTTCCATATTGAGGAGAAAGACATGTTGTCAATCTAGAACCACTGAGGGTACCAATAGAGAACCTGCAGTCCAGATTCCAAGAAATGACTCAAATCTAGAAGCAATTTGGTTGTGGATTCACAACTAAAAGGTTGAGTATGGGAACATCCATACATGAGGATTCAACAACTACCTAAAATTGTGCTTCTTAGATGTACCCCGGGGACTGTCGGCTCAGTACATGTAAATGGCCGAGTTTCTCCACTCACCTAATCCTCTACTAGTCGGGCCTAGCTGCTCTGGGCTAGCGCAGCTTGT